TCTCATGGCAGTCTTCTACCAGTTAAAATAAGCTTAACTACACCATCGTTGTACGTGTCGATATAGTGCGAATTAATGTTGACGAGAGCTCGATTTATCTTTCTATATAATGTCACTACCATGCACCCAGCTATGATGGAACACATAAAAGGGCTCGGTCTAGCTCTAACAGAATCCTGCCAGGGCTCGAACAAGGTGTAATCAGTGTGATGACATCCCTACTAGTCTCGATCGTCGTCGTAGGCGTCGTGGTCGTCGTAGGCGTCGTCCTGGGCGTTCTCGTCGTCGTCGTCCTCGTCGTCGTCGTCATCATCCTCGTCCTCGTCGTCCGCCACTCGGTCGTCGTCGTCGTCGTCGTCGTCGTCGGCATCGTCGTAGGCGTCCTCGTCGTCGTCGTCGTCGTTGTCGTCGTCGTCGTCGTTGTCGGCGCCGTCGGCGTCGTCGTCGTCGGTGCCATCGGCATCGTCGTCGTGGTCGTCTGGACACCATCGAAGAATCCTCCCCGGCGGGATGAAGGGGGGGGGGGCGCTCTGAACCTTCTGAAGAGTTTCCTGGGGGGGAGGTCCCGGAACCCTCCCTCCCCCCTGTTTTTGGCTGGGGGGGGGCGGGGTCTGCCCCTCCTTCCCTTGCCACCCGCGGCAGAAAACGCTTTTTCAGATCATCTGAGAAACCCACCTGTGAAGTGGGAGAGTGCCGTGGTACAGTACCGCAGACAGAACTAGCTCAATGCCCTTTTCCCCGCGTCGTTGTTGCCACCCCGTCCCCCCCCCCCTTCCCTCCCCTCCCACCCATCTTGCATGCTGCTCTGCCAATGCATTGTCCCCGCCGCCCAACACTGACCTATGCTCAGTGTCTGCGTTCCTGCGCGCTTGCATTCGCGATACAATGTTTTACATTGTTCCTTGGCCTTCGTATCATGTGTTCTTTGTTTTGCCGATGCGCAGTCCAGGCGCGGCCTGCAAGCCCTCCATGGCCTGGATGGCGAAGTCTAATCTAAACCTGCGCGTGACGTTACTTTGCTGGACGCAGCTCCCCCGCCCGCCCCGCAGCCCAGAACGCGTTTCTTTATGTTCGGCGATGACGGGCCTCATGGGGGGGGGGGCGACGGGGGGGTATGACGCAACGCCCCCCCACCGTGTGGCTCCGGCACCGTAGCCGCGCCCGCGCGCGCGACGCGACGAGCGACGAACGAAGAGCGACGAGCGACGAGGACGACGAGGACGACGAGGAGGACGCAAGCAGCATGTGGGTGGCGAAATACCCCACTGCGGCTGTGTACACCACAGAGCTCGCGTTCACCACGGCGCGCGTGTGTACCAAAACGCCTGCGTATACCGCAACGGCCGTGTGCAACGCAGTGCCTGAGTACACCACAGTGCTTGCGTACATTACAGCGCCTGTGTACATGTGTACATCGCAGCTACCATGTGCAACACAGCGCCTGTGTACATCACAGTGCTTGCGTGCACCGCAGCGCCCGTGCACGCCACAGCGCGTGTCTACACCACAGCATCCGCGTGCAACGCAGCGCTGGTGTACACCACAATGTCTGCGTGCATAGGACAAGTAGAAGGAGCATGTACGTGAGGATTCGCTGCGGACAACTAGACGCCACGCCAGGAAAGTGCTGATAATCGGATGCGACGTGTTTCCCTCCTCCCTCCTCTTCCACCTCCACCACCTCGTCCTCCTCCTCCTTCTCTTCCTCCTCCTGACCCCCTGTCGTGCGGGTTGGTGCTACAGCGCACGTGCGCATATCAGCGCGCACCGCATAATGGTCGATTGAATCGGCCCACTTGGTTCTCGCACGGCCAATTTAGCTGGAGCCTCATGGGCGCAGATGGGAGGAACCAGGGCGATGCGGGCGGACTCGGGAGGGCTCGTAGATTCCAGCGGCGCTCCGTTGTCCAGAAGCATTATTTTCGATGGTTTTCTGTGGAATCCACAAGCGCTCCATTTTGTCATGAGGATTCGTTCTAGCATTCTATCGTCAACAGTGGTGCTGTGTTGCACACGGTTGTTTTATGGTGCACGCGTCGCCAAGTCGACACACACACACACACACACACACACACACGCACGCACGCAAGCACGCCCCAAAGCCCATCCACGGGACACAATTTCCGCCGCGCGCGGATGTTGTCCAAAAGCCCAGGGGACCGAAATCGGCCTCCAAGATGCCAAGATCGCGAAACAAGGACCGTCGCGACCAGGGACTCTGGCGGGAAGGCCCCCGCCAGCTCTCCTGCATGCTTGCTCCGCCCCGCTCCGAAGGGCTCTAAAACTCCAGTGGAGGCATCTGGAGCACCCCCGAACAACAAAAACTACCCCAAACTGTCAAGCCATAGATGCAACTGTCAGAATTACTCATGTCCGAAATCTCTACTGTGTCTAGTTGTTAGAAACTTCGATGTTTGAATAAAATTGTGTTCCTCTTTTCCTCCTCTCTGCCCTCTACTCTTTACTGCCTACTACTCCCGATCCTCAATGTTTTGCTTTCCGACTCTACGACAAGCGGCGCCGCGCCCTTCCGCACCGACACCGACGCGCGGGCTATACGCAAGGGGGGTTGCGGGCCATGGGCCCATCCTCTCCAGGCGGTGCTCCGTCCATCCAACCCGGAGGCCCACCGCGGCCACCATCGCCGCCGGCCGACCAGGCTGGCCCTGACGGCGCCGGGGCCCCCGACGGCGACGACCCTTTTTGACGAACCCCTCGGAAGTCATTCGACGACGACGAGGACCCCCTCGGCGCCCATCGGTACGCCCACCTGCTCCCTCGGCGCCGCGACCGTTGCAGCTCCGAGCGCCACTCCCGCCTAGCTGGCAACATCCCCGGAGTGCCGCCCCCCGTGGCCCCTGCCCCCGCTGGAGGCATGGATGGAGTCGTTCGGTGGTGGTGGTCGGGCCTCCATTCTGCAAGCCGCCCCACCTGTCGCCGTGGCCAACTCCGCCTCTCGGGGCGCGCACCCGCGCCGCGACCGGTCGGGCCCTCCCAGGAACCAAGGCAGGCCCACGGCACCCCGCGGCCGCCCCTCCGCCCCCATCCAGGAAACGGAGTTGCCCCCTCCCCTCACGGCCCCACCCTAAAGCCCCAGCGGCCCCATGGCCGCCTGACAGACGCTACCGTCTGCCCCAGCGTCTTAACCGCGCGCCCACCCCTGCGCCGCTGCTTCCGCTGCAGCTCGCGCGACGGCAATGCTAGGGCCCGCGCGCCCGCCGCTACCCTCAGAGACGCGCGCGCTTTTTTTCCGCAGCAAGCGCCCACCAATCTCCGCCCCTGCTCCGATACCGCATTCAATCCGCTTCCCCTCATGGGGCTATCACAACACCCATCGCACGGCTACGAGGCTCTATGGCGGCAGAAGTCGAGAGTGACAGATGGCAGGCAGAGGAATATGAGCACAATAATCGCATGTCCTCTAAAGGGGCATCTGGGCAACTCCACGGAAGGGCCACCACCAAAATAAAGGTTATACGCGACAGCGTCGACACTGGGCCATGCTCAGGATTCCCCTGTTCCAAATGAGCAATGACGGCCACAGGGATGAGAAGAGGGGGGGGGGGGCGAGGAGGAGAGGAGGGGGACATCAGCCTGCGCGCACCAAGCGACACATGGAGTGCTCAGCGTGGACTCGCTGTCCGAACAGCCGGCACAACCGGCGCCAACATAGTGGCACCACGAAGCCCGGGGGAGGGGGGAGGGAGGGAGGAGGGGGGCTGCCCCCCTCTCGATTGGCCCCGCCGCGCCCAGGCCGCTTGGCACCAGCGGTTGCCGCGCCCCCCGCGGCGTCGGCTGTTCTGGCGGCCCCTCGCAGCAGCCTCGAACGCGGCCTCCCGCGCTCCACGTTCTTGCCTGGCGCGCTAGCCGCGGATTGGCACTTGAGCGCTGGCGCCCCCCCCCCCCCCAAAGGCTCGTTCCCGCCGCGGGAAGGGCGGCGCGCCCAGGCCGCCCATCGCCCCATCGCGCCTTTGCCGCGCCGCGCCCCACCGCAAATCCCCAGTCATACTCTGGCCGCGGCGGGCCGCGCCCGCGCAGTCGCGTCAGCAGATCCGCGGCGGGGAACAGAAATTATTCCGCGAGGACCACCCTCGTTTTTGTCGCGCTGCCCCACGGACCGCTTGCCCGAATAGAGGAGGCCAGAGGCGCCCGAGATTGTCTGGATTTCGGCGGCGCCGTGACTGAAGGTGCGACCGCGGGGGCCCCCTTCTGCCCCCCTTTCCTCTCTCCTGTTCCTGCGCATTTGCGGCGCGAGCCAGCCCCAGGGGGTTAGGCTGGCGCTCGGGCCTGAGGGCGGGCGCGCAGCTTGATGGGTTTCTAGAACCGCAACTGTTGAACACATAGAGCATTACATTATGTCTGAGATTCTCCAGGGGAGATCTATGTGAGACCTCAGGGGCCGAAGTGAGTGAGACCCGAGCCTGTGCCTAGCAAGCCTTGTGGGCCCTCTGGAGGCCCGCCAGCCTAGCCTCTCACTGTGTTCCTTTCCCTTTCCCCCATCGCCCCGTCTCCGTGCGCTGTGCATGCCCGTCGCCGTGTTTGGGCTCTCGAGGCTGGCCTTTTTAGCTTTAGTTATCGTACTGGGCTCGACCGAGCCCCCGCGAACAGCACAGTTGATTTGGGCCGCTAGCCAGCGGGAGTGCAAAACAACCAGATCGACAATCAGACTGGCATATCGGAGCTTGTGGTTTCGACTCGCGGGCGTGGCCGAACGCCCACCAACACGGACATTGAGCCCAATGCGCAGGCAGCTTCGAGAGGAACGACCAAGGTCAAGGCCGCTCGTACTACCGTGATGATGAGATTGTGGTGGACCGACATGGGCTGTCGCACTATACGGGCGCGAACCCAGACCTGCTGAAAGAGCATGCGAAGAGAGTCGACCTGGCGCTGGCGAGGCTCGAGGGATCGGGCTCAGACGAAGAGAAAAGCCTAGAGAAGAATCATAGAAGGTTTCGGGTTAAGTTGCTGGACGGACTACATGGACGAGCCTGGAAAAGAACAGAACACTTGGCAGCCAACCCGAAGGAGCTGAGGCGCGAGAGCGGCGAGCAGCTGATCTTTGACGCGCTGGCATCGCTAGACAAGGAGGCCATCGTGAAGAAGGGGATGGCGTTTGATAGCTTTTTCAAGCGGAGTTACAGGAAGCGCGGAACCGACATGGGCGAGTACCTAGCGAACAAGGAGAAGCTGTGGGAGGACCTACAGGAGAGAGACACCACGACGAGACTTTCGGATGACCTGATGGCCTACTTCTTGCTGGATGGTGCGGGGCTCTCAGAGGAGCAGAAGAGGGGAATAGTGATGAACAGCGGCTCAGAGTACAAGTTTGAGGCCTTCCAGCATGCGCTCAGGGTCAATTTCCAGGACGTACACGAGAAAGAACGGAGGAACCCGCAGCACCAGCACCAGCACAAGCAGAGCAACCAGAAGTGGAACAAGGGCCACCGAGGGAAGGCGAATCAGGTGGAGGACCACGATGAATCAGACATCTCGGATGAGGAGTTTGACGAAGAGGAGCAGGCCAATGCAGTCGACGAGGCCGACGACAACAGCGACGCTGGGGCATCGAACGACGACGAGGTCTACGAGGCGCACTCGGCCCATGAGGCGGCGCGCAAGAAGCTGAAGGACACACAGAAGCAACGGGGTTTCTTCAAGGGCGAGGTTGCCTTTGAGGAGCGCCAAGAAGCGATCAAAGAAGACAAGAAACGGACTCGATGTGGAGCCTGCGGGCGCATCGGACACTGGGCAGGCGACAAGGACTGCCCGAAGAGCGGACAGCAGGGCGCCAAGAAGTTCGGAGGTGGTAAGGGCGGCAAGCCGAAGAGCAAGGCAAAGCCCGGGAAGCCGAAGCACGCGTTCTTCACCCTGGACATGGACGACATGGACTACGAGATGGGCGTCCGACGCGGGCGCCTTCGCGGCCAACGGCGAGCCAGATCAGGACGACCGCGGCTCGTTCTACGAGGACTCGAGCGACAGCGAGCCAGAGGATGAGCGCGAGGATGACGGCTACCACAACCGGAACTACGACGAAGACCGGAAGGAGCCTCAAGGAGCGGCAGCAGCGGCAGCAGCACCCAAGCCCAAGGCTAAGCCGAATATCAAGCCGACGAAGGCGCCGCAGGAGTTTATCCCGACCGAGAACTTCGGTGAGTGGAAGGTTTACGAATTGAAAAAGCGCTTGAACGAGCTCAACCTGCAGGTGAGTGGCAAGCGGGAGATCCTCATCGAGCGGCTCACGGGATACTATGCGGGCATCGCGCAGGTCAAGAAGGGGCGCAGTACGGCAAAGACGGCATGAGCATCGTGCTCGGGGACTTCGGTGGGCCTGCAGGGCGAGAACATGAAGTGCACCGACTGCGACAGGTACGGGCATCATAGAGATGACGTGCGCTGCCCACTCTACTCGGAAAGGAAGGTATACATGCATATTCAGGAGCGTCGAGAGCAGATCAAGCTGGAGTTGGACAGCAAGCCAATCACCAAGCCGAAGATGAAGGAAAATTCAGCGAGCTCGGCAGCATCATCAACGACAGCGACCTGGGAGTTCATCGACCACACCAACGAACTCACCTGCCCCGTGTGCTACCGCGTCGGCATGGCGCTGAAGATCAACAAGGTCAACGGGAGTAAGTTCTACGGGTGCCCGAACTACCTCGCCGTCATGAAGTGCAAGGGAACGTATGACTACGAGGTGGGTCAGGCGAAGCTGAACGAGGACGGCTCTTCAAGCCGTTCGTTTCGTGCCTAAGCGTGGGCAGGGCCAAGGAGGGAGCTCGACGTCCCCCGCAAAGTTCGGCGAGCTTCCTGGGTCAAGGACGGAGGCGCCTATTTTGGAGACGCCCTTCGAGTTTGCGGCCGGGCAGCTCGACAAGCGCAAGCTCATCTTGTTCAACGCCGGGGATGAGCACAGCTTCAATGACCAGCTGGCAAAATTTTAAGGCAGCATTCGTAGTCGCCAATGACAACACGTCTCACTCAGTCGACTTCGACGCCGTTGCGCTGGTCGACACTGCATGCACCCTTTGCATGCACAGCAAGCATTGGAGACAGCGTTTCGAACGATTTTTACCACCTGGCTTGGCGTGCCGGCCAAACGGCAATCATAGGCTCTTCACCTTCGCGAACGGCACCAAGCAAAAGGGCGAGGTCTGGATCATTCCGATTGGCATCGGCGGCTACCGTGGCGAGGCAAACTCAACGGAGATACCTACGGGACAGACGCCACTGCTGTTGTCGATGCCAGCCCTTGAGATGCTTGACGGCCACATTCACATGAAGACGAAGAAGCTTGAGCTCACCGCGCTGGGGATCACCGCGGCGCTCATCAAGATGCGAAAGACCCCTCACCTGGGGACCGACGTGTCGCAGTTCGGTGACGACGAGAGCGCAGAGACACAGAAGATGGACCTGACGTCAACCCGAGGAGATGCACTAGTCCACTACGCGAACGACCTGGAGATCGTGAAGCAGGGCTATGCATTCTTAGAGACAGATTGCCACGACGACGACTTCGACGTCTCGTTGAACTCCGATGGTGGGACCATGGATCTGAATGACCCTCGTCGCCATAGCTCGGAATCGTTTGCGTCACGATCGTCGCCCACGTTTCACAGCAGCTCGGATATCTCACTGGCATCGAGAGGCGTCAGAGCTGGAGATCTACGCGGGGAACTCACGAAGAGGTGAAGTTTCGAACAGAATCATTGCGCAGGAGAAGCATACCTGGGTAATCCTAAAGCAAGAGTACACCCTGGCCGAGAAGATAGCCACGAAGGGTTTCAGGACAACGATGAGTTTCGAGCCTTGGGGTGGCGCCTTCAGAGTTACACGAATCGGATCGGCAAATTTCGGATGGACAAATTCTCAAAAAGGTTAGACAAGGTAGATGGATACGACCTGTTGACGGCAGATGGCGAGAAGTTGCTGTTCAATATCCTAGCAGAGCACGACCCTGTTTTGACCATCGTGGCGCTTGATTGCAAAATTTGGCCAGTTATGACGAACATGTGCCCGACGATCGACTGGGAGAATCTCCGGGAGACCACTGGAATGCAAGTCTTGCGTTTGGTGCGGAGAATCTGCATTCATCGCTTACAGCACGGTCGATATTTTCTTGCAGAACAGCCATGGTCGGCAGCTTCTTGGAAGTACAAGGGGGTGCTGGCGGAGGTGTTTTGGTCACCTGGGACATGGTTTGCTTCGGGTGCCCAGTGTGGGTTTGGCAAGAAGGATGTAGACAGCGGAAAGCCCATCCAGAAGCTCAGCGGCTACCTCACCAACAGTCAGTGCATCTTGAACAAGTTGGCCATACCTTGCAAGTGCTAGGAGCCTCGCGAGATGGTGGAAGGCAACAACTCAGTCGGGAAGCGGGCAGCTCAGGCAGCGGCCTACCCACCGAGGATGGCAGCTGCGATATGCGAGGGATTACGTCAGCAGATCGAGCTCGATAGCGCTATCGCCTTGGCCACAGGTGATCTGGAGAAGAGCTACCCGGCAAGAGGTGAAGATGGAGTCGAAGCACCACCGGCACAGAAAGCAAGGAGAGGTCCGAAGCTACTCGGAGGAGTTGACGGTCTACGACGACGAGTCACTCGAAGAGGAGGCTGGATCACTATGCAGAGGGAGAAGTCGGACAAGGTGATGGAGATCTTCAACAATTTCGTGGATTTCCTGACGCCGCTCACCCTGCTGTGGTCATCAGTGGCCGAGCGGGCGGCGCACACCGGGAAGCTCGAGGAGGCGAATGCGACGGTTAAGCTGCTGATGATCAGGCGCAACCCGCGTACGCTGTTAGCAGTGCAGCCGCATCTTCACGCATCGCAAGCACCTCTTCGGATAGCCTACGCCCGAAGTGAACGAGGATTGTGGCAAGAGCTCGGATGGGAAGACTGGGCGAGCTTATCACCACAGCAGAGAGTCATGAAGATCGCAGGTGCGGATATTCTAATCATGGTGTACGGTGCGCAGATCGGCGAGGCGGAGGACGAGGAGAAGGATAAGGAGACGACCCGGCAGCTGCGTTGGGATCAGTACCACGCGAGCTGAAGATGGCGATCAGACGACTTCACGAGAATCTGGGTCACGCTTCAAAGGTGGAGATGTTAAGGGCTTCGCGTATTTCAAGGGCGTCGGAGGCAGCAATCAAGGCATGCAGATTATTTCACTGTGAGCATTGCGAACGAACCAGGACGACCAGCGCTGGCAAGACCGAGCAAGTTACCTACAGTGGACGAATTCAACGTCGTGGTCGGGTTCGAAACCTTTGCCGAGAAGGACGCAGATCAAGCTGAATGGCAGTTTCTCAACATCATATGCTTGGGTTGTTCATTTCAAGTCGTTGCGTTGTTGGGGGGAGGTCACAAGATGGCAAGTTCGAGTACCATCCTGGAGACCTACGAGTTGTGTTGGGCTTCATGGGCTGGTGAGCCTGAGGTTGGAGTCATCGTGGACAGGGCCAAGAGCTTCCTTGGCAGTTTCTCTGAGTACATCGCGAGTCGCGGCTGCCGTTTCGACTCAGCTGCCAAGGCAGCAGCATGGCACATCGCCAAGGTCGAGCGCCATGGAGATCTTTGGCAAACCATGTGGAGGAGAGTCGTCTGGGCCAAGCAGGTAGCAGGTCGCGAGGACGTCTTGCAGGCGGTGATTGAGATCAACCAGGCGAAGAATTCTTTGAGCAGAAGATCGGGTTTCTCACCGGCGCAGTGGGTACTTGGGCGAGACATGCGTTTACCAGCAGACTTGATGGACGACGGCGAGGTGGAGCGCATTGGAGCAGTGGCGGCATCAGCGACACCAACATCAAAGTTCGCAAGGAAAGTTGCACTACGGCAAGCAGCACGAGAGGCACATGCGAGAGTGGCGGATGAGGACGCCATCAAGCGGGCAGAACTTCGACAAGTACGACCAGAGCGTGGACCCTTCAATGTTGGCGACTGGGTGTTCTACTACGAACAGAGAGAGCAAGGAAAGAGACCCGAGAGCGTCATCAACTGGAGAGGAGTTGCACGAGTCATCGGCCACGAGGGCAAGCACACTATCTGGATCGTGCACCGGGGCATCACAATCGCTTGTGCACCGGAGCATCTCGCGAAGGCTTCAGATGAGGAGGTTAGGGACTGGCTTGTGACGGCGCAGGAGGCGGATCTGATCGACGCCACGGGAGTTGCAGGAGGCAGCGGGTTCATAGACCTACGACGGCGGCCAGTGCCACCGGACTTTCGTGAAGACGGAGTTCCTGCACAGCCAGAGCCAGCGGCAGCTCAGCCACCTCCGGAGGCACCGCCGCCCGAGGTGCCACAGCCGAGTGAGAAGGAAGAAGTTCCAGCACCACAGCCAGAAGCAGCAGAGCAACAAGAAGTACCATAATCACTTCGACAGGACGGACCACCTGTACCTGAAGAGCCAGCCGTTCGACGACCAGAACAGCAGGACGAGCAGGAAGAGGCCGCGAAGGACTTCGTTCAGCAGACGATTCAATCGAGAGAAGTTCCCATGGGAGAAGATTGGGATCCAGATCTCCACGACTATCATTCAGTACCTGTACGCGGTGCACCACTCGACGCTCCGTCGAAGGAGGTGAAGGCGAGGCCAGCAGAGGAAGCAGGAGAGCGAGAAGCTAAACGACAACGGCTACTCGAAGATGTACCTCATTCGACTCGAGAGAGTCGGAAGGATCAGGAGGCGGCGTTCAATGTCTATGACGACAATGATCACATGCTGGAGGCGGCCTACGTGACCTACGAGGCGAATCAGACCTTCTACGAGGAGCGCGGCATCAGCAGGGAGGTGCTAGGCTTCGGAGTGGAGAGGAACGAATTCGAGCACGCCTGCCAAGTCGGCCAGACTACCGCGAAGAAGGGCAGAAAGGAGCTGAGGTGGAAGGAGCTCAAGGAGGAGCAGCGCAGGATGTTCACAGGACCTGGAGGTTCTGACGAGAAGGAGTGGAAGTCGTGGCAGGACTTGGACGCTTGCGAGACCCTCGACGTGGCGGAGAGCGAAAGGATCTGGGAGACCAAGAGCGACCTCATCACCCCGGCCAAGTGGGTCAGGACGAACAAGAGCGAGGGGACCGTTGAAGGTGGATTCGAGGCGAAGTCGAGGATGGTGGTTCAGGGTTTCAAGGACAAGAGTCTTGGAGAGTACCGAAGGGACGCACCTACAGCATCGAAGCTCGCGGTGGCGATGGTTCTTCTGGTGATTGCAAGTACCAACATGATCGTGAGTTGCGGTGATGTCAAGAATGCCTATTTACTGGACGCGGGATTGGACGTGAGGTTTACATCAGCCAGCCCCGATGGGGGACCTCCTGGCTTACATCCCAGACAGCTTCTGAAGGCCAAGAAGGCAATCTACGGTTTCGCAGAGGCGGCACGTGTATTTTGGTTGGCTTTTTGTGAAGTATTGGAGAAGGATGGATGGGTCCAATCAGTTCTGGAACCAGCTTTTTAAAACAAACTTAAGAGATGACAATGGCATGCTGGTTGGGATTATGTGCACTCATGTAGATGATTTGTTAGCGGGTGTTCTTGCAGAGTTTGAGAAGACAGCCTTCAAGTTTACGGAGGAGAAATTGAATCTCTCGAAGTGGCAGGAGGAGTTTGTTTTCCGAGGTCGCGAGATCAAGCGAATGACGAACGGCGAGGTCGGCGTCATGATGAAGGGTTACAGCCTGAATATGAAGGGCGTAACGGTACAAAGAGATCGACGGAAGGAGCTTGCCAGCCCGCTTAACGAGACGGAGATCACTTCACTGCGAAAAGCTACGGGCGAGATCTCCTGGTTGGCGCGACAGCTACGAGCAGATCTAGCATTTCAAGCAGGACACGCACACCGAGCTATGGTGGCACCATGTGTGGCGGATCTAGCGAAGGTCAACAAGGCCATGCACGATGGAAACCGAGGAGCGGAGTACATCCAGAAGTTCCCGACGGGGATCGACTTGTCCAAGTCGGTGGTGGTCATTTTGTGCGATTCTGGACACGCGAACGATAACCCGGAAAGCGACGAGATTAGCATGTACAAGAGCATCGGAGGTCATATGTTGTTTATTGCCGAGGAAGAGGTGCTCAGTGGTAAGTTGGTCAGAGCTGCGATGATGGACTATAGTTCGAAGTCGACTCAACGCGCGTGCCGGAGCACGTTAGCAGCGGAGGCATCCCATTTAGCAGATTCGCTTGAGGCTGGAGAATGCTTGTGTGTTCTACTCGAGGAGGTGATCAACAACAAGTTAGATCTCAGGAACTGGCAGAATATTGTGGTGCAGCGTTCGCGATTGTTTCTCGCGGATGCCAAATCCGTGTATGATTATTTGACCAAGGCGCTTTGTTGAAGGAGGCTTTGAGACAACCGAATACAGAATTGCGGCGGGTTGATGGCATGCAGAATCTGTCAGATATTTTGACGAAAGAGGGCGTGGATTTGGAATATTTTCGACATTATTTAAGAAAGAGCCGTTTGACGATTCAGCAGGATTCGACAGCAGTACGTATCAAAGAAAAGAAGAGAGCACAGCGAGCTGCGAGGAAGTCCGAGAAGCCCGACAGGAGTGCCGAACACAAAGCTAGACGATAATCAGTTGCTGCAGGTGTTCGTTCTGCGGAGCGAGACGAGGTCGTGATGTTCGAGGCTACAAACTAAAAATAAGGAGTCTGAGATTCTCCAGGGGAGATCTATGTGAGGCCTCAGGGGCCCAAGTGAGTGAGATCTGAGCCTGTGCCTAGCCAGCCTTGTGGGCCCTCTGGAGGCCCGCCAGCCTAGCCTCTCACTGTTTTCCTTTCCCTTTTCCCCATCGCCCCGTCTCCGCGCGCCGCGCGTGCCCGTCGCCGTATTTGGGCTCTCGAGGCCGGCCTTTTTAGCTTTAGCTATCGTACTGGGCTCGACTGAGCCCCCGCGAACAGCAGAGTTGATTTGGCCCGCTAGCCGACGGGAGTGCAAAACAACCAGATCGACAATCATATTATGCGTCACAAATGTTGGGCTCTCACCGTGCTTCGCACTTTGTCTGGAATCAGGCCTGTGGACCCGGCCCATGCTTCCGCCAACTCCATCGCGATATTGCGACTTAGAGAACGATTGAGTATTCTGGGCTCTTTGGCTATTCTAGATTTGCCGTCCGAGAATTGCGGCACTCGTGTGCGCCAGCTATCCATATAACTGTCTCTCCTAGTGCGTCAGCGCTGGAGTGGGGCCGCCGCTCAGGTTCGGTGGCGCGCCGCAGACGCCGCGAGCCCCACCTTCGCGGCTTGCTCCAAGAGGTTCGGCTTTCCGTGTTTTCCACGTTCGAGGCTCGGAGGTCGCTCCACTCCGAGGAGAATGACGTATCAAAA